ATCTTAGCTGCAGAGGGCAGTGTCACTGGCCCTCATATGTGGGATCCGAACCGGGGCCCTCTGGCGTCCCAAGCCAGCTCTTAACCATCGCGCCACTCAGCTGGCCCAATCATCTTGTCTCTTTTATTTACCACAAAATACCCAGCACCTAGCACCTTGCTTTGCACCTAGTAGGTGTTAACTATTAATTGATTGAAAAAACTGATGTGCCTGAGAGGGAGCCTCAAATGAGCCTTATTTGAGCTCAAATCCCAACCTGAAGAGTGAAAGCCAGTTTGTGCCCAGCAACAGAATCCTTCCAGTGTCTTGCATGAGACCCCAATATATAGAACAGATCAAACGGGGGCTCTTCCGGTTGAAGGTGAGGCATGGCAACAGGGGCCGCATGTCCTCTGTCCCTCCCCTGTCCCTACTGCACCTCCCCCCTTGCTCCCAAAGCAGCCCCGAATTGGGGAAAAGACAGAAAACAGTGGACTAAAGAATCCCGTGGAACCACTTTTTCCTGTGAGCTGCCCCATACCCAGCCTATAAATTCATTTTCTATTATTCTAGAGTCAGTGCAGGTGGCCCCCAAAGAAACGTGACTGATACTGAGATTGGTACTAGAAGTGGGGTGATGGACGCCGGGTAGCAAAATCAACATGCAATATGGAACATTGGGGCAGGAGGCCTCTCTGTGTCTGCGTTCCTCTCAGGGAGCGCCACACAGACCCCACGTAAACTTTTTGTTCCTGTTCTCCAGCCAGAAGCCTTGGGGTGGCGAGGGTAACGAGACGGGGTTTGTGGGGAGAGGTGGAAGGTCCGGGGGTTACCTCTTCTAGGCAGCGAGCCTCTTCCTGTTGATTCTCCTTCACAAACTCTTCCAGGGGGTACTTCAGCCGTGGGAACGGTGCGATGGGCCAGTCGAAGGAAGGGATGTCGAGCTTGTGAATAGCTTTGGAGTGTGTGGTCGCTAAGCAACCTAGGCCCCGAAACACAGAAAAGCAGATGGTTGGCATGGGGGAGGAGAGTGGACGGTCTTTGAAAAGGAGATAAGGGGCATTTCAGGCCAAGACTTCAAATGCCCAGGGAGGCCTGTTAACCTGCAGAGCCCCCGTTCTTGTAGTAACGTCCTGAAGCTGAAGCAGAACTTGTGAACCTTAGCGTGTGAGTGAGTGTGTGTGTGTGTGTGTGTGTGTGTGTGTTCTGCTTTCTGATTCATCGCAGATTAAGCACAGACTTTGAAGGCAGAGAGACAATCCTGGCTTTGCCACTGAATGGCCTTGTTCTTTCCTTGCTGGGCCTCGATTTCCCCACCTGTAAAATGGGAATAATAATCCCCACTCTACAAAGAATGGTACGGTGTCAACGAAACACCATGGGGAAACCGCAGATATGAAGTCCATGGCAGCCATCACTGCTGTTGCTGGCTGTGATTACTCTTAACTGCCGCATGGGTATCCCAAGGGCCCCTCTTACCCATGGTCCTCCCGTGGAATGCACCCATGAAGGACAGGATGCTGTAGTCGGGGCAGCCAGGGGCCTAGAAGCAAGAAACAGCATTCATCAGTCATGGCTGTGAGGACCAGGGGACCCATGGTTGCCCCAGGAACCTGGAAGAGCACCAAGGTCTATCAGAAGAACCGGACGTCCCTTCTCAGGCTGAAGTTACAAACTGGACTCTGATGCCTACAGCCAGCCAACAGATGTTTTGCCGGCGTAGCCCAAAAAATGATTTTGAATCAAGAGATTTCACATAAACATCTGAACTTCTATCTTCCCTCAAGTTCTGCACCATTTGGGCCCGTTTTTTCTCGGCTCAGCCTAAAGTCTGGGGGAGCGTGCTGTCCCAGGGCCCACTGCCCGCCTTTCTCCTGTGCATCACCTGCCCTCACCCGCTGGGCTGCTGGAGCTTTTGAATTTTCAACTGCAGGCTCTTCCAACTCCTCCCCGTCTCCCGGCCACAGGCTGCTCTGGCAACCAGGTAGGCTAGGTGCTGACTGGTGCATACCTGCCTCCCAAGACATGAGGCTGAGCGGGGCACCTCACAGGAAATGCCCCAAGCCTTTGGACCAGGTCTGCTGGGCCGGAGCAGGAGGGTGGCAGGGAGGACCTCTCCCCAGGACACCTGCCCCGAGTTCAGGAGGGACACCTGAACTTCCAGTCACCTCCCAGCCCCAAGCGGATGGTACAACTGTATTGTTTCCTGACAAGGAAACCTGGCAAGGAATTAGACCCGTTTCTAGCTCACTCAGGTAGATCTGCTGGGGATGTGACAGAGGCAACCACGGGCAACACCTTGTCTCTGGGAGGTTGATTTGGCAGGTTCTCAGGCTGGCTGGTCTCCAACCGGTCCCTGAGCTCCCGGGGAATGCTCTAAGACTTCCTTCCACAAACTCCAGCTTATCGTCTGATCACTTCCCTTTGCTAAGGAAAGGAAACATTTCCTTTGTTCCTTTGTATAAATGTAATAATGCACATCATCATCCATCTGTGGCTGCAGCCACGAAACAGAAGGAATGAGATCTAAAAATACTGATGGACGAGGATGTCCCTGGATAGCAAATGAGAAAGAGGTAGGACATGATCCATTTCTTACAACAACAACAAAAAAGCCAGAAGAAAGAAGAAAAAGCTTAATTGTATGCAGGTTTGTATGAATATGGAGAAAAGCGTGGATCTATTGCTAGCAAAAGGCAGGATTAGGAATAAAAAAATTAAGAAAGCACATACGCAAAATAAATAAATAAATAAATAAATAAATAAATAAATAAATAGAACATTCTCACCACCCATAGGCATCCCATTATAAACATATTAACAGGATTTCTCCTAGTAATTTCCTGTGTGTTTATTTACATGGCTGGGAGCACAGTGTCCATTTACATTCCACTGTTTCACTAAATTATGGCACACAGTGTCTCCAGGCCAAAGAGAACCCCTTCCAACTGTTTCTGGGGCAGAATTTTGTGGATGCATGCAGTATGTGATTGAGCTAAGTGGCTGTTGGTTCTTTTTTTTTTTTTTTTTAAGTAGCAGATCCTTCTGTCTAAATCATAATAATGAGACCCCATCCATGAAAGGGGCAAGGACAGGTCTGCTCTGGTCGAAGCTGGCTAGACAGCTTGTAATCTACCCACTTGGTTTTCCCCGTGGTCCCCACCACCGCTGTCCCCCCAACAGTGGCCTCCTTGGTGCCCCTGGGAACCCCTATACTTAAGTCCTGTTTCCCTATTACTGAATATATGAGTCTTCTCCAAACCTTTTGATTATCGTTCCTCTAAACACCAATGGGGTGAACATCCTTGTACATACATTTGTGTTAACATTATGGATGATTCTAGAGAATACATTAAAGGCCCCCTTAGGCGGCTCAAATTCAGGTGGCTGTCCTGAGAAGCTGTTCCTGGGTCAGAAAGACCTCCACTCGGCCTTGGGAACAGACTAGGGTTGGAATGCTTGGGGACCCCTTGCTATGTATGGATTGAGTGTTTGTGCATCCCAAATTCCTATGTTGAGGATTCAACCCCCAATGTGACGGCCTGTGAACACAAGGCCATAGGGAGGTGATTAGGGATGGATGAAGTCATGAGGGAGGCCCCTATGATGGGATTCCTGACATTACGAGAACAGACGAAAGAGCTTGCTTGCTGTCTGTCTCCCAGACATGGGAGGACACGTTGAGAAGGCAGCCGTCTGCAGCCAGGAATAGAACTTGCCCTGGGGAACCAAACCAGCTGGGACCTTGATCTTGGACTTCCAGCCCCCATAACTATGAGAAAATACATGTCTGTTGTTTAAGCCCCCCCAGTCTATGGTATTCATTACGGCAGCCTGTGCTGAGAAGGACGGAGGGTCAACTGGCATCAGCCTGAGGGGAGGCGGTGGCACCCCCTTTTGGAGGAGGTGAAAGGGGTCGCCCCACTTACCTGGTTGATCATGCATGTCTCCAACTCCTCTTTGGAGAAACCCGTTTGACCCCTTTCCTTGGTCTGACAAAACAGAGAACAAAATCTCAGACATTTGAGGGTAGGAGGGGCTTCCACTTTCCACTCAAACTCAAGAGCTGATCTTATGTGTTGATGGAAGAATAAAGAAATAAAATAGAGTCACTGTGATCAAGCTGCTAAATTATTAACATCGAATGGGCTGGGGCATGAGGAAATGATGATTCTTGTTTTAACTAAGTCTGGGAACTTAAACTTTTTTTTTTTTTTGTATTAACCTAACTGTATTTACCTGTTAGGGAATTTAAACTTTTGAACTTCCCAGTCCCGTATCAAGGTTGGGTGTGCATCAAACCTTCACAGTGACCTCAAGAAGAAAAAGTTCCATTGTCTAGACCACTGGACATCTGACAATCACCATCTTGGACCAATTGGGGGCTAAAAATGCAGAACTGATTCTTTTGAAGTATGTACTTCTCATTTCAAAACTCCCAGACTTTTCTTTCTCCTTCGGAACACTCTGGGTACTGCCTAGCAGTGTTTCCGGTTTGCAAACCTTAAGACCCCTGAATAAATCTTTACTTTATCTCTAGTCAAAGCTTCCTGGCTCTTTTTGAGTACATTCGACACGATCATTACACTTATGTACTGAAGCAAGAGACTGTTAACTGTGCTTGTGATGAACTAAATAGATGAATAAATACACAGGTGCATAACCGTTCCATTAGCAACAATTAGGATCTGCTGAGATAGTATATGTAATTCCAGGTAAAATGGCATAGTTACACTGGGTTAGTTTCGTGCCGAAGCCTAGGATCTTTGCACCATACCCCACTGGGATGTTTGGAAAGGTCCTCCTTCTCCACACCCCACCCGGGCAGTGGCCCTGTCTGGATTTTGAGCATGGTCACTGATGTCCAATACTCTGGCCAGCTGGGGTGAACAGTCGGACAAGGCATGAGTGTGTGACCGGGTGCTGGGGAGCCTGTGCGTGTGTGTTCATGCCCCAAACCTCACCCGGTACCACATGAAGATGGTCTTGAAGGCGTTTTCATTGGAGCAGGAGCCGCAGGCCATGGTGATGAGCTGGGACATTCCTTTAGGAGCCACCTGCAGGGACAGAAACAGCTGCGGGCTCAGCTCCAGCTCGACTCCCCCTCCCCCAGCTGGAGGTGGGCTGCAAGCTGGCCTTGGAGGCTGTGGGAGGCTGGGAGGGGACCAGGGACGTTCCGGAAGCAGACGGCCTGGGAGAGTGGACTCGGGCTCTTCTTGCGGGGGTGACAGAGAAGCCCAGGAGGAAGCCCTGAGGCTGGAGGGCGGAGAGGAAAAAAGGGCAAAGAAAAGCCCAGTCTGTGCCTCCGGACGCACCTGCCACCCCTCGAGACACCCACGTTTTGCAGGTGGCAAGATGAGGTTCTGAATGATTTTATTCGTGGTAACGACTGAAACCAAAATGTTGGGGCAGGTTGCATGACATACGCAAACCTCCTGTCACGGGACAAATCCTAATGTCTCCTGAGTTCTTTTTCCTGCACACCCTTCTTTTCTTCAAAAGGAAAAATAAAACACTCTTCGTGGAAAAAACAGCACAAAGAGCAAGATTGAAGTAGAAACACCCTATCCTTAATTGTTCCGGATCTCACTGCCGTCCTCCCCCTGCTGGTGCCCCCCTCCCCCCCGCCAAGAGCAGAAACACCTTTCCCGTAGGGACACGGGGGGGGGGGGGGGGCCCAGGTTGGAGATGTGTTGTTCCCAGGGACTCACGGAGAGCAAGGACTCCCGCAGCTTCTCCACAAAGTTCTCTGGGGGCAGGATTCCCAGGGCAGGTCTGTTGATGAACGTGCTCTGAAAAAAGGCCAGTGAAAAAAAACCAGTGACTTCGTGGGCCTAGCCCAACCAATCAGATGCTGCTCTGTGGGTGCCAGGATAACAGATTTCCTTGCACTTTTCGAGAAATCCACTGGGATCACTCTAGGTTTTAAGACGTGCCAATGTGTTGGTTGTAAGATGGCACTACAGTTAAGACCAGACGCTACCGCTGGGGGAAACTAGGTGAATCTGTAAACAAACCCCATCCGAGTGGCAAAACAAAGCAAAACAAAACAAAACAAAACAAAGGATAACAACAAATACTGACAAAGGATGTTGAGCATCTAGAACTCTCATTCACACAGCTATACACTACAAAGTATGGAAGGTAACTCTGGGAGGCAGCCTGGCAGTTGTTTTTATAACGTTAAACATCCACACACCCTGTGACCTAGCAGTCCCCTCCCCGCTCCATTGGTATTTATCTAAGTGAAACGAAAGCATATGTTCAGATAAAGACGTGAATGGACGTGAATGTTTATAGTGGCTTTTATTTTTATTTGCCAAACCTGGAAACACCCCAGATGTCCGTCCACTGGGGAAAGGATAAATAAACTGTGGTACACCATGGGACACTACTCGGCAGAAAAAGGAACAATCTCCTGACACACCCAAGGGCAAGAAGAACATGGAAGAATCTCAAAGTTGTGGTGCTGAGTGAAAGAAGTCGGAATGAAAGGGTTACACACAGCATGGTTCCATTGATCCGACTCTGCAAAAGGCAAAGTACAGGGACAGAAAACAGCTCGTGGTTGCCAGGGGCTGGGGTGGGATTGACTACAGACAGACTTGGAAGAATGTTTGGGGTGATGAATTGTACCGTGGTCTGGGTTAAAAAAAAAAATTGTGGTAAAAACCACATGATATAAAATTTACCCTCTTAACCATTTCTAAGTGTACACTTCAGTCGTGTTAAGTATATTTATTCACACTGTTGTGCAACTGTCGCCACCAAACTCATCTCCAGAACTGTTTGTCTTGCAAAACTGAAACTGTACCATAAGACACTAACTTCTCTGTTCCCCTTCCTCCAGCCTCTGGCAGCCACCATTCCACTTTTATGAATTTGTCTCTTATGAATTTGACGATTCTAGGGACCTCATATAAGTGGGATCATATGTATATGTCCTTTTGTGCCTGGCTTATTTCATTTAGCACAATGTCCTCCGGGTTTATCCACGCTGTAGCATGTGATAGAATGTCCTTCTTTTTTTTTTTTTAGATTTGGATATTTATTGCTGTTCATAGTTTTTTGTGTTTTTTTTTAAGATTTTATTGGGGAATTGGGGGAGGGGAACAGAACTGGAGAATCGGGGGAAGGGGAACAGACAAGTTGCTGTCGTTTTGTTCTTCAGTCTAGTTGTGGAGGACGTTGCTTCACTGGCCCAAGTTGGCACCATCATGGCGCTCTTCCTGGGCGAGGCAGATCAGTCGCTGGCCTCTGGACGGCCGCTCACGGCGGCTGCTGGCCGCTCACACTGGCTGCTGGCCGCTCACACTGGCTGCTGGCTACACACGGTAGCCCATGGCAACCCACTGCCACAGGGGCTGCAGCCTACGCCGTTGCCGGCGACTCACGGCAGCCCAGCTCCAGGTTGAGCTGTTGTTCAGCATCTTAGCTGTAGAGGGCAGTGTCACTGGCCCTCATATGTGGGATCCGAACTGGGGCCCTCTGGCATCCCAAGCCAGCTCTTAACCATCGCGCCACTCGGCCGGCCCTTTCCTTCCTTTTTAAGGCTGCATAACATTCCATTGTATGGATAGAGGACATTTTGTTTATCCATTCACCTGTCAATAGACAGATGGCTGCTTCCACCCCTGGGCTCTTATGAGTAGTGCTGCTATGAACATGGGTGTGTGAATGTGTCTGGATTCTGATAGTGACTATATGACCATGCATTTGGTGAAACTCACATAGGTATACACTACAAAGAATGGGTTTTACTGCATGTAAGTTACACTTTAAAAAACGGGGAAACGGCATGAAGAGGCAGTGGCAGCTCTAAAATTTCTAGATGGAACAGGGCTTAGGAGAGCAACCTGATGAGGGAGCTGGCTAAATAAACAGGATGGGCTGAGTAGGAACAGTGTTAGGAAAATTAGGCTAAGTAGTGGAGGACGTTAGCTCTCCTCATTGCAGAGTTGGGGGAACTGAGGACCAGAGAAGTCAAGCAACTTGCCCCAAGTCACACAGACAAGAGGCAGAACTATGACTCAAACCGAGGTTTGCTGCCTTCAGGTTCCATCCTCTGCCAAACACTGCAGGCAGACCCTGCCCGGTCATGCTAATGTTAACAACGGACACAAGTCTGTTTGGTGCGACCTGGACTCACTGGCTGGCCTGCAGGGGCCTCCACGGGGCATTTCCTTTGGAGATCCTGAGTAGGGTTCTTAAGAAATCAAGCTCATCATGAGATGCGGGTAGAGGCGAACTGCCATTATTGGCAACAGGGGACAGGGCTCACATTGGGGACAGCCAGGCTGGCTGGCAGCTTGACTGCCTATCTGGGTCCAGGGAAGTTGTGTGGGTGATGTCCTTGTTTGACAAAGCATGACATTAAGAACAGAAGATATCTGGGACATCGGGTAGCAGAATCAAATGAGGACAGGTTTCATGAATCCTTGCCATCGACTCAGTGGCCCTAAAGTGCAGCACGAAGAGAACGGGCTCTGGTTTAAGTGGCTGTGCAACACGGGGCAAGTTACTTAACCTCTCTGGACTTCAAGGTCTTCATTTGCCAAAATAGGGACCCTTCCCTGGGTGGGTGCTCGTAAGATGCCAGTGAGATGACACAGCACACAGATGAGGTAGGAGCTCGGTCTTGGACAGAATCACGCAGGTGGAAAGGCCTGGAGGTCACACGGATGGCATGTGTCTTATCCGACCAGGTGGCTGCCCTCCGTCCAGCCCAGGTGCCCCAGATGTCAGATTGCACTGCTCATCCATTGCAATGTGACCACGCACATGCAATGCCCAATAATCATTGTATAACTTGGGGACATTAAACGAGGTGAGCCTGGTGACATAAGAAACTGGAACTGGAACCCAGATACTGGATCCAGAGGACATGGCTTCATGTTTTGCAGCCACATGAAGTAATTATGTGGGAGTTTCAGGGTGATGTGTTTGGGGTACGAAAGGGTTGATAAGCCCCTTCTCAGGACGTCAGCGACTTGGCGGGAACCTGCCCAGGACAGGTAAAATGCCATAACCACCACCTGAGCAAATCTCCAGCCAAGAATCTGGAAGATTCAACCAATAGTTCCCCAGACTGGTGATGCTCTGACGCCAACCAACGGTTGCCCAGCCTGATGCCCTGGGTATACCCGCTGAGCTTATGGCAGTAAACTGCCACTTCTCTAAGGCTGTGCCAGTCACCCTGCCCCAAATCCAGTCCTCTGCAGCACGTCAGCACAGACTGACCAGTCTGTGATCTAGGCTGTAATCTAGACTGATCTAGACTGTTCTAGACTGTGGTCTCATGATCCAATCCCAGCACCAGAACAGTGCCCAGCACATAGGAGGTATTTAACCAATAATTGGTGAATAAACAAATGTCAAGAAATAAGGCTGAAGAAGAAGGAGGCAGATCATGAAGGGCTTTGCACTTGCATTAGAGGTGTTCAGGGGGCATCTGTAGGCAGTGGTTACGGGGAAAAAGGTATCCATGCATGGTGCAGTTTGAGGACGGTTTGGAGAAGATGAGAATATACGTGGCGGGGAGGGACAGCTGCAGAGGGGTTGTTGGGAAAATCCAAGTGGAAGGTGCAGAGCTAGGACTGGTTTTGATTGGTTGAGAGGTGAGAGGTGTGGGGTGGGGGCGAACGGAGGATGAAGTATGGCGTTTAGGTTCCTGGCCGGGACAGGTGGAGGCAGGGAATCCCCCAAAATCAGAATCCCTGGGCCTTGAAGTCATTTTGTTAGGGATGACGCTGCCTCCGGAGGCAGCTGACATTGCAAATGTGTGTGACATGTTTGTTGGCACATTTTTTTTCAGCACCAACTGCTGAGGCATCTGGGATCCCCACGTTTGGAAACAAAGCCAGGCTTTGAATGTAAACACTCTCGGAGCCTGCACACCCGAGACGCCCTCAGGAGTCCTCTCCTGCAGCCCGGAACTTGTCAACTAGTGGGAGGGAGAAATGTCCCCAAGCCCCTCCCAAGCAGGGCACACCCATCTGTAAAGAGGGAAATGTGGCTTTCCTGTTATCTTTCATGTGCCCGTTAAAAGGGGAGAAAATTTAAGGCTGGGAGTTGGTTTTTACCAAAACAGGGCACTCAACCCTCCCTACCTTTCTTAGATTTTTTTTTTGTATGGACACATATGTCACTCTTTTAGTAAAACGAAAGTCCCCAATGACATTTGGTGCCAGTGAGGATGTGGAAGGCTGGAACTCACACACTGCTGGGGGATGTGGAATCTGACAGCCAGTTTCCTCATCTGTCAAACAGGGATTACAATAGTACCTGCCTCATAGACTTGTTGCCATCAGAGCTGTGAAGTGCCGAACACAGTGCTTATACAGTAGTCACCTCTTATCCGCGGGCGATACGTTCCAAGCCCTCCCCCACCCCGTGGATGCCTGAAACTATGGATAGTACCGAACCCTATATATACTGTACTGCGTTTCCTCCTGTACATACATACCTATGATAAAGTTTAATTTCTAAATTAGGCACAGTAAGAGATTGACAACAATAACTAATAATAAGATAGAACAGTCACAACAATGTACTGTCATGTGACTGTGGCATTAGTAAGTAAAATAAGTGCTCCCTGAACGCGAGCACTGTGAGACTGGCCCATCTGATAATGGAGACGGCTACCAAGTGGCAGGAAGCGTACACGCTGGATAAAGGGACGATTCACATCCCAGGCAGCACGGAGCGGGACAGTGCAAGATTTCGCCACGCTACTCAGAATGGCACACAATTCAAAACTTATTGCATTGCTTATGTCTGGAATTTTCCACTTATTCTTCTCGGGCTGCAGGTAACTGAAAGCACAGACAGTGAGACTGCAGATAAGTGGAGACTGCTGTACTCATTATGCTCTTAACTATTGCTATCATTATCATGATCATTGTTTTATGCCCACACAGCGCTGCTGGATGCAGTCCGTAACCTTTAATATGGCTGCAATTCTCTACTTATGCGTGCAGTTAACTGACTGCTTCCCTGGGAGCAGGGCGATAAGTTTGTGCTCCCCAAGGCATCCCAAGTGCCTAGGGCTTAGTATGTGCTCAAAAACTGTGCATGGAATGAATGAATGAACTGTTTGCAAAGACTGCCCCAAGGATCCTTTGAATTGCTGTAAACACGTTTAGTCTTTACTCTGTATAACCCAGGGAACTTACCGCGTTTTGAGGCTGTTGGACGAGTTTCATGAGAGCAGGGTGGCTGTAACCTGGAGATGGAGGGGGTTTGGTTAGAGACCAGCATCACACCTGAGGGTCCCCGTACCCCTCCCCCATTGCCTGTCCCTTCCCTCTTTTCCAACCCTGCGACTCTCTTCTTAGGAACTTTACTCCTCTGGAGGCAACAGACCCATCCGTGGGCCCACCCAGACACCCTGGCTTAGAATCTCTCAGGGTGCTGCCCAGAAATCTTCAACAAATTCTCTAGGTAATTCTGGGGTTCAGGTTGGGAGACCTAGTAGACTAGACAGACACAAGAGGAGGTGAAAGCAAGGTAAAAACAAATTTCAAGGCCAGGGCTGGGAGTGCTTCCCCAGGCCGGCGTGAAGAATCACAAATGTGGTCCTTGCCTTCTCTCCCAGCGTACACCTGTTGAGTCAAATCCCCGTAAGTGTTTGCTCAGGGACCAAGTGAGTGAATGGTACAACCTGCAGTCTGTGACCAGGATATCCGGTCCTGCCTTCACACACCTGCTTATTCCCAGAGTCCTGCTGTATTTACTGTCCTGTCCGGGCCTGAGGTTCCATGACAAGGTCTAGGAGGTCCTTTGATTCAGCAGTTGCTCTTCTACGAATGTACCCTACACGTCTTGTCTAAAGACCAGTGTACACGTATCTTAATTGTGCCACTCCAATATATCCAGGCTTGAAAATGAAAGTCCATCCGTAGCAGACCAGTTGCTACAAGGATTTGCAATGTTGAACGGGAAGCCCTCTACACATAGTAGGTGCTCAATAAGTGGAAGTATTTGTTGTAAAGGAGAGAGGAGCAATGCAGTACTGCACAGCACTGGAACCAGATGTCCTGGCTTCAAAGCCTTTGCTTCCATTTATCGAGCAGCTACTATGTGCAGGGGCTTCCTGTTCATCGTTGCGAATCCTTGCAACAATTCTCATAGGAACCCCCAAGTTTGTAGGAGGCACTGAGGTCGGGAGACCAGACGGTAAGACCCTAAAGGGAGGTGGCAAGTGTTCAACTCAACACATCTTAGTTGAATGAATGAATAATGCAGAGATCCAGCGACATAGCAAGGACTCAAAACTGTCATGGATGAGACAAGACTCATCAGTGAATCTTGGAGCAGGAAGTAGAACTTGGCGAAAAACTCCCCGTCATTAAGTGTCACCATTTTTTTTTAAAGTGTTACCATTTTTTTTATCACACATACCTGGTACTTAACTTTGTTTTAATTGATTCACTTTTTAATTTAAATAACTTTATTTTGAAAGGAGACTTTATATCACCATGTTGAGAGGCCTGCTCCCTCCAGAGTAAGATACTAGCAAGTTTAGACAGATCTTAAAGACCCAGCATCACCCAGGGGAGACCTGCTTTCTCCTTGATGGACTATAAAAGAGTGAACAGACTTGAAAAGCCTGTGCTTCCACTTGACCAGCTGCAGGAGCACGGACTGGGGGAGTGGTATGGGGGTGACCAAGGGGAGAGGGTTAACAGTCTTTCCCCATTGTCCCCGCCTGTCCCCATGCCAATCCAAGCCTGACAGGGCCCAAGGCTAGAAAGCACTCATTACTCAAGGAAGAAACACTCTTTTCTGGCCAGAGGTCTTTCAGCTCTGGCTTTTTATCATGCTGCCTGGATGTTTATGACTTTCCTGCCTCAGTAGATAAGCCAGTTAAGGGAACGCTCATTAAGCCACAGTTCAGTTTGTCTTATCAGCTTCAGGAGGACAGATGAAAGCAGAGCCAGCCCCTCTGATCAGGGAAACCCGAGCTCTGGGCTTTCCATGCTGTGGGACCCCCACACTGCAGGGCAGGGGCAGCTGTCTGGGAGGCTGCTCTCACAGAAGTAAGCTTGGGAGGCTGAGAGTCATTGGCTCAAACCCTTGGGCTTCCTGGACATGGGGGGGCAAACCCTGCAACCTCTTGAGCCTGACTCCCCATCGGTAAACTGGGGGTGATGGTAAAAGACCTGATGTTATAGGACTGTTGTAGGGATTTAATGATATAACACGGGAGGCACTTAGCAATATGCCAGACACATTGTAAATGATAATTATTAGTTTATTAGAATTATTAGTTTAAAAAAAATCCATCCCATACTACAGGTATGGGAGAAAAAGTGGCCAGAGAGAGAAATTTAGAACTCTCGTCTTTTAACAACTGCTGCCAGCTCGATCCCTTACACGCCCACCCGTACATACGCTGGTTGGCTGGGGATTTGAGCTAAAGGAGCCCTGGGGTGGAGGGGAGATGTAGGAGTTAGCTGGGAAGACCTGGGTCCATGGCTAATATACGGTGGAGCCAGGATTCAAACCCAGGATAACTCCCGATACCTTTCACTCCAACGCAAAATGGAGACAGGGGTTTATAAATCTTAGCATCCGAAACACCTTCAAAGGCCAAGGCATCTCTGGAGGATGGGACTTTCCTAAAAGAGTGAGTCATTTACTTACTGTCTAATTGCATCTTAATGGGAAACAAATAGGTCCCAAGGGTTGGTCTGCAGGAAAGCGCAGGAAGAGGGGAGGCCTAATTTTGGATCTCGGGGGGAAAGGCTGCTGGGGGTGGAGAGTTGCTGATGAGGAACAGAGGACACCCCGCCATCAACCACAAAGGGACAGGCTTCCCTAGACGGTCAGCCTACAGATCAGAGAACGCAGCGAGGAATCCACTGACCAAAGAAACATCAACCATCCAAGGTGCAAACAGCAGCTGCTGCACATCCAGATCAGCCCTGTTCACGCCGTCGTCTGTGTGCCCTCCCACAGCAGTGAGACACGCTCTGTGTGGCAGGGAGGTGAGCCTGGTAAGGCAGATGCTTTGATGCCCCACCAGGTCACCTTTACTGGACAGGCCACCCCTGTCCCAGCTGCTGTGCGTGTGGCTCATTATGGCTCCAGCTGCCTCCTTGTCTGGAAAATTGCCCTTGGTGAATAGAAGCTGCTTTACCCAAGAGGTGACATGACTTTCCTTCCGGCAGCTGACGGGCGATGACTGACTGGCACAGGGCTACAAAAAGGCCAGTCTGGGGCCCACTCTGGGAGGCAATGCCTGTTCAGGAGCCCCCGTGGGGATCAGGCCATGGCTAGTCGCTGGCTGACAGCTCATTTTTCTTAGCTTTCCCCTCTGCCTTCTGCTGTTTCCCTCTCTCCCCTTTCTCCGGAGAGTTCTCCCTCAATCAACTACTTGTACAGCGTCCCGGCCTCAGGCTCCTGTTCCCAACCTAAGACAGCTGACATCGGACACGGACACGGTGGTCACACAGACCTGGGTTCACATGCAGGCTGTGCTTCCTCTACAAGCTGCTAAACCTCTCCAAGCTTTGCTTATCTCTCTGAAGAACTGCGATATTACTATATATTTACCTTGTAGGGTTCTGGGGAGGAGTAAACGAGAGAAGACACGTCAAGTCCCTAGCAATGCAACCCTCTACAAATGACTTGTTCCTTCTCTCTGCCCTCGAGGGAAGTGTCTGGCAACACCCGGGGATGTGTCTGCTGGAAGGGACAGCTAAAGTCTGGAGAGCCATACAAAGAGAGAGGAAGCTATGTTTGAGGACTGACTTTTCAGCGCTTACCGATGGGGACAGAGGAGATCTGAGAATAAAGATCCAGCATCCGGTTGCCATCCACGTCGACCAGGTAATTGCCTCGGCTCTCTTCGTAATTGCAGAAGAAATGCACAGCCTCTGCGTTCTTGGGGACAGACGGGACTGAGTCAGGCTTGCTGCAACTCCCTACATTCTCAGTGTTTAAGATTAAGCTTCAGTTGGTAAAATAAACCATGACCTGCCCAGTCCATGGTATGGAGGGTCTCTGAGTGCAGGCGATATGGCATTTCTTGCCCTGGGGGTAATTCCATGGGTGATATGCTTTAAGCAAAGCTGTGAATTTGTATTTTATGAAGTTTTCTGTTTGTATTTTATGTATCACAACCAAAAAAAGGGGTTGATCTAAAACTCTCAAGGAGATTCTGATAAGATGTATATGGTAAGAATTAGAGCACCCATTAAGAAAACGAAAAAATATATATATAGAAATTATGAGAGAAATGAAAATGTTACACTGGAAGATACTCACTGCAAAAAAAAAAAAGGTAAAAGAGGAGTAAATAAGATATGAGACATAGAGAACAAACAGTAAAATGGAAGATGTAAATACAACCATAGGAATAATAACATTAACTGTGGATGGATTAAACAAGCCAATCAAAAATCAGAAATTGTCAGACTGAATAAAAAGATTCAGCTATAAGCTGTTGACATGTGACATACTTTAGATTCAAGAATACAAATAAGTTGAAAGTAAAAGGATGAAAAAAGGTATATGATTCTCAGAGCAAGCACAAGAAAGCTGGAATGATTTATACTACTAACAAAATCGACTACAAAACCAAAAAAAAAATCTTACTAGAAGTAAAGAGAGACATTTTATGATGACAAAAGGGTCAGTCCATCAAGAAGATATAACAATTATAAACATATAAGCACCTTATAACAGAGCCCCAAAATCCATGAAGCAAAAACAGAACTGAAGAGAAAAGCAGTTCTACATGAATAGTTGGAGATTCCAAAACATGGCTTTCAATAATGGATAGAACAATTAGGCAGAAGATTAACAAGGAGATAGACTTAAACAACACTCTACACCAACAGATCTCACAAACATCTATATAGAACACCCCACCCAACAACGGGAGAGCACACATTCTTCTCAAGCACATCGGAACGTTTTCCAGGCCAGACCATATGCTAGGCCATAAAAAACGCCCAATAAATTTAAAAGGACTGGAGTCACACACACACTATATTTTCTAACCATGAGGCAATGAAATTAGAAATAGCAGGAAGAAATTTAGGAAGTTCACCGAAATGTGGGAAAGAAACAACACACAAATGACCCATGAGTCAAAGAAGAAATCCCAAGAAAAATGAGAAAAAAAGTCGGCTGCATATTTCTTTTTTCTTTTGGAAAATAGCCGGCACAGAGGAAGCATCTGTGTCTCTCAGCTAAATTGTAACAGAGAAGCAATGGAAGGAATGCTACCTCATCCCCACTTACTTGAATTATATTCAGCTGTTTCATTAACTCCTGCGGGCAAGAAAAGCAAAAGTATTATAGCAAGGACACACTCTTCCAAAGCAGCTTAAAATATTTCGTGTCTTCCCAAGTCTTGGAGCTTTGCCCCCTTTCATGCCGATAACTTAATAGTTCATTAGCCAACAATATTACAAATATTTTAAAATTGTTTAATATAAATTGTCAGCAGGGAACGACTGCCAGTTAAATTACCAGTACAACAGACATAGTGGAGATTTAGACACTTGGAAGATAACAATCCAACTAAAATATTTAACAAAAAAAAATGTAAGCTGAAGGCGTTTATGTAGTGCCTATAAAAGCATGGGTTCTCTTTTAATTTAGGGGGAAAAAAGGCTTTAACATTCTGTCAGAAAAATAAAATCAACTGAAAATATAAATTTGCAGAGACCCATTTATAATTATAAATCCAAACACTCTATAGACCACGGTACAATTCTATATAGAAATTGGGAATTATAAACCAGTTGCTTTAATAGTATAAAGATTTCATCTGTAAATATGATTCAAAGTAAAATAAACTTTAGCATTTAGTAAAAAAATTACATATTTCCACATAAAAATAGAAAATATTAATGACAACATAAAAAATTACTCCAAGTATTTCACTACTATTAAATTAAAATCCACTACTCCCCAATAGAAATATGCAAAAAAAAGTCTCTCCTTTCGTTAACAAACACAATCACTACAACTATTTATCACCACAAATATTTCTGGGTTTATAAAATAGCTTCAATGACAAAAGGGGTATCTTTGACACTAAAAAAATGACACTGGATAAAATCTGCAAAATATGTAAAGAAAAAAGATTAATTTGTATTAAAAAGGTTTACACTGTTATTTTTCAGGTGCAAACATTAGAAACAGTATTGCATATCACAACACAGGGTCAAGGTTAGTCAGCATTCCAAAATGTGTTATATTTGGGTTTTGTGGCATCTTTGAGAGGCTCCAACCTCCCTCATCTGACTCATGTGTGTCTCTTCCATCTCACACACTAACATCTATTCCAGGGATTCAGAGCTGCCCAATGCCGCTCACATGCCATGTTCTGTCACCCTGCATGCCTCTCCACGTACCATGCCCCTTGCTTAGAAGAGGATGCATTCCTTTGGCAAATTCCTCCTTTTTATTCTTTAAAGTCAAGCTCAAGGGCATTCGCTAACCATGTCCTGTGCCATACATCATTGCCATGTTCTTCCACTGCTGGTGGCATGTTCTGACCCAGCCCCTGACTCTGGACTCACAGCCAGCCATGTGACTTGCTTTGGCCAGCAGAATGAGGCCGAAGTGACGATGGGCCAGCGTGAAGCCTGGGCCATCGCATGCTCTCCTCTGCAATCACCGTGAGAACAAGCCCAGCCCAGCTTGCTGGAGAAGGGGAGACACATGGAACAGAGACAAGTCACTGCAGTGACCCACTGATGGCGAGTCATTCCCTAGGCATGGAGATGTGTCCAACAAAGCTGCCGCTTCCACTCCCAGTTGATCCTAGATGCAGGAGCTGCAATCTGCAGGCTAGAGGTTTTGTGATTATTTGTTACACAGCATTACTGTGGCAACAGCTAACTGATACATCTCTAGGTAGCCTTCTTTGACTTCTTATGGTGGAATGGCTTAATGTCCCAGATCTCTACTGGTGGATTCTCCGAAAGCAGCTAAGAATATGGTCCCTAAGCTCAGCTGTGTTTTTGCCTCATGGACCCCTTTTGCTCGGTTCTGGAAACACACCACTCAGGGGTGTTCAACTCACCCGAGATCTGGGCCCTGGGACTTCTGTCTTCATCAAAGGCCCTTCATAATCAAATTCAACGTCGACTTTGGCTGCAGCCTGACTGATATGTCTGGATCCTGCAGTAAAAAAAGGTGATGAGAACCCCTGGTGATAGCAGATATAAGGAGAATTCTGCCCTAACAGACACCCAATGTCCCCAACAGAGGCGGTACCAGGACCTCAACCCCGTCCCAGCCAGAAGGCCCCAGGACACTGAGTCTGGCCAGACTTGGGTACCACAAAAACACTGAAGATTTAAAAATGGAAAAGCCCAGTGCCAGTGATGGTGATGGCAAACAGGCACACTAGTGAGCTGGTGGTGGGTGTGTAAGTAGATGCCAGCTTCCTATTCCTTTTGATCGAGCAATCTTATAGTTTAGGATTTATCCTAAAAAAATAATGAGACCAGTGTACGAAGACGTAGGTTTAAAATATTCATAACAGTACTGTCTCAAACAATAATAAAGAGAAAAGAGCCTAAATGTCCAACAATGGAGGGTAGCTAAATAGAGTATGACATATTCCACCATTTCGTGGACAATGGAATATTCTGCATCTGTCAATAGTTTCAAGACAGACATTTTGCACATTTATGGACACAGAAAGATGCCCACGGTATTAGAATGTGAAAAACCAGGTTATAAAAATCATCCAAATTTTGTAAAAATTTCATCTATATCTAAATGTAGAGATAGAGGCCGGAGTGTCTCAGCCTCAGCGCTGTGGATACTTTGGGTCAGATAGTTCTTTGCTGTGGGGGCCCATCTGTGCATTGTAGGATGTTTAGTTGCATCCCTGACCCCCACCATTCGATGTCAGCAGCAACTTCCTCAAGTTGTGCCTCTAGTTGGGACAATGAAAAATCATTCAAGAGGGACTCATCAGACGTCTGAATTCAGGTGGTTCCCACCTATAGATGATTTTTTGTTAAAAAAAAAAAGTCTGGGGCACCAGTCATATGCTCGAAATTCATTTTACATTTTTTTTGCATAGTAATAACCTTATGGAGGGTGTTTGAGTTCCCAGGCTAACCACTACAAAGTTTTTTAGCTCAGCATGTGGCAGAGACATAAAGGGTAGGCTCAACCCAGGTCTCACTGATCCCTGAATGAAAGGCAGCTTTCTGAATCTGAGAGAAGTGTGTAATGATTTACAACCAGTAACCCCTAGACGTCCCTTTAATGTTCCTGGTCATATTTTATTTTCCTGGTACATACTTGGTGGTTTTGAAATGTTAGTTGCACTTACTTGGGTTGCCATAATTGCATCAAACTAAGGAATCATTAGATACTTTATATAAATCATATATGTGATCTCATTTCATCCTTACAACCCTTAGGGGGAGTTGTTATTGCTTCCATTACATAGCATAGGAAAGTAAAACTTAGACAGGCAAAGGAATATGCTAGTATCTCTTCCTCTGTGACACACACACACAAACACATGCGCGCGCGCGCGTGCACACACAGCTTGCCAAACCATACAAAATGATATTAGAAACCACATTTAAATTCATACTTAATTTTCCACAATTGCCTTGGATATCAAAGAAGGTTTCCGAATTAATTATGTAATGTAATACATTATGTAGCCCTTTGAACGTCAAGGCCAGTTCAAATCCAACAGTACCCTTATTTTAAGGAATGAAGAAACCAGCTTTTGTTTTCTTCTGTTTGATCTTATAACGAAAAGAGTTGATTCTATTAGCAGAGAGTTAAAGGTCATGGAACACATGGATGACTTTTTTTTTTTTCCACTCAATTGTTTATCTCTTCCTTGACCAGTTGGTCAAGGCTGATTTGCAACTGGGCCTGCATAAAACAGGGATGCATTCCTGGATAAAAGAAGCTCTTCACTGGTCCCGATCTTTCTTCGTTTCAGCGAAGGGGGAAGGTAAAAAGCTCAAAATTGGCAAGCTGTCCTCCAAACGAGGACACGCAAGTCCTACTTCCCTTCTCCCAAAAATGTCTTGACATCACAGCGTCGCAATCAGGTTTCTTAGAAATGGGAAGGTGGGAATAATGAGAATGTAAGTACTTGGCTGTGGGAGCTGCAGCTATAAGGAAGCCAAGACAATGAGGTAAATGGGAACTGGGAGGTGGGGTGGGGGCAGGTGGTGCAGAGAAGGTGAGAACCCATCCTTCCTGGGGTGGGAATGCCGAGGGCTAGGTGCAAGGCAGACGGGTCTGTTCCAAGAACTTCATCGGTTCCTACCATGTGCCAAGTCTTTGTGGGTGTGGATGGAAGAGGGCCAAGACTGCTGGGCAGAGATCCTGAAAATCAGAGCCTGGGAAGGTGTGTTGGCAACTGTGCCAATCAGAAAAAGGAGGATGGGGAAGCTGACACGTTTTCGGCCCCTCCTGTGTGCCAGGCAGGCCCTACTTAGGCAAACTCTCACCTACTGTTTTAATTAATCCACAACCTACTCGTGAGATGGTATTGTTGTTCCCGTTTTACAGACAATGATCAGAGAGGTTAAGCGACTTTCCCAAGGTCACACAGCTAGTGAGTTGCAAAGCCAGGATTCGAACTCAGGTCTAATACTTCCGCTTTCCCTATTGTGTCTCAATTTTGACTTTTTGTAGAGGAAAATAACCAAACACTAATACAACCAAATACCAATACAATACCCATGATGATCTATAATGTCCTCTTAATTCTCTTGATGGTATATAACGCCATAAACCACAAGAGAAAAAAACAAGATTTGCGTGATCAAGGAAGGCTTTTCTGAGATCTCTTATATCAAGTCACAAGAGCAGATGTCCATTTTTCGAGCACTTACGGTGAATGTACCAGGAGCACTTTACAAGGATCATCTCATTTAATCCTCACAACCCCCTAGGAGGTAAATATTATTATTCCCATGTTACAGAAGAAGACACTAAAGCTCAGAAAGGTCAATTAACTTGCCCAAAATCACACAACTGGTAAGTGACTAAGCTGGAACATTGTCCGTCTGACTTCTCCTTTTGCAGATACTATGAATGTTAAGTGATGCTATTTTCGATTTCATCTAGTGTGAATCCTTGAAATGAAACATTTGCAGCAAAACAACTCGCTTCCCTGAAAGGCAAATTACTACCAGAAGCACAAGAAAGCAAAAGAAGTTTGAATTAATATTGAATGATCCAGCATGTTCATTCATGAATAAAGCAGCACCCCCAGAAGGCAGGGGTGTGCCCTGATACACAGCCCTCTGGCTCTGATAATGACGCTCGCCACCCTCGGTGCCCGCACTAATCCAGAGTCAATTTTTAACTCCAAACTATAAAAACAGCCATCAAACGTTTTCAATGCCCCCTTGATCTTTATACTGAGAGTAATAAATGAATGTAATTTTCCCAAACAGCAAGGGTGTGAGCCTGGCCAAAGTCAAGTTCACCTGGAGTTGTTTGCTCTCCCTCTCTTTTAAACAATCTCATCTTGCCCACAACTGTCCACCCCGCTTATTTTTTGGTAACATGCTCACTGAGGAAAATATCACTAGGCAACAATGAAAAAAACCAAAACACAGAAAACAAACAAGTCCAGTTTCACAACCTAGAGATAATCATCTTGCTGCCTAGTCTCCCAGTCCTGGACTCTATTTGTCAATATAAGATGGTGGCGGTGGTGTGGGGGGAATGAAACGAAGCTATCTCGGGTCATGAATTATCATCACGCTGAATGGCTTCAATGTGCTCCAACAGGTGGAGACACACACGGAAGCATTTGCACACAGTGGGTGTGCTGGCAGGCCAAGGCTACTGACCTGGGCTCTCTCCTGCTCTCTCTCGCTCCGAGGAAGCAGCTGCCATGTAGTGAGCTTCTTTAGGAAGAGGTCCATGTGACCTTGAATCCAGCACGCTGACATCAGTGGACCCCCGGCTCTGATGGTGAGCCTCAGATGAGACCACGGCCTCAGCTAACAGCTCAGCTGCCCCCCGAGACACCTGGAGCTAGAGGATTCAGTAAGCCACTCCAGGATTCCCAACCCACAAAAGCTACGAGATGATAAACATATGTTACTTTAACCTGCTAGGTGTGGGGATATTTGTTATATGGCACCAGGTAATTAATACAGCAGGTAAGTGTGTGAGTCCTGGAGCCAGACTGGCTCAAAGCCTGGTTCAGCCCCTTGCAAGCTCTGGACAAGTTACTTAATTTCGCTGAGTCTCAGTTTCTTGTTTTATGGAGTTATGGTGAGGGCTAAGTGGGTTAAGGGTAAGCTGTTATTCCTATCATGTAAAAACCATTCCCCTATTGTTACTTGCCCATCAGTGCATGAGAGAGCCGATTTCTGTATCTTTGTCAATACTGCCTTCGTATGAAAAAAACAACCAACCCTATCTATCTATCTATCTATCTATCTATCTATCTATCTATCGATCGATCGATCGATCGATCGATCTATCATCTATCCACCCAGCCATCCATTCATCCATCTTACTAGATATGCCAAATTGATAGGCCAAAAGAAAAGAAAAAAAAAATCTCATGGTATCGATTTTTAAATCTGGCACAGGTGTGCCAAAAAAGATCCAACTCTAGCCAAGAAGATGCAGAGATGAGCAACTCTGGTCTCATCACTTCTGGTTTTTGCACTGTGTCTCTATATCCATGCTTATAAAACGGGAGTTAGGACACTCCCCACCTTATCGTAAATATAAATGAAGTGGTTTCACATGAACCATTTCTTCTGATACAAGAAATCTGTGATCCCCACTTTCCTGATGAGAAAATTTAGGCTTGGAGAAGCTCTGACCCCTGGCTAGGCTCCCATGGCTAATAGGTGGATGGAGTCAGTAGCTCCATCTTATGAGACCCAATCCAAAGCTCTTTCCTTGTCGTGTCCTTGGGAAGGCTCAGATGTCCTTGAGAATGACCTTCAAAGGCTGAGCAACATATGCCACCAGGCTGGAACCCCCCGGGGGCCATGCCCTTTTCTCTGGTATATCCTCAGCACCTAGTCCAGCAGCACTCGGCACCTAGTAGGTTGCTCGGCAACACTAGTGACGGAATGAATGAATCTTCCATGCCCGTGACTCTCCCTCCTACTTGGAACAGACCAGAACAATCTGCAATCCAGCTGTGGAGGGCGCAGCTCACTGGCCCATGTGGGAATCGAACCAGCAACCTTGGTGTTATGAGCACTGCGCTCTAACCACCTGAGTGAACGGGCCACCCCCTCAGTTTATTTCCAACGTAATAACAGGTAAGCACGGATATGCTTCTCTTATAATTAAATGAGACAAAACCAAACCTCAAAACCTACTCATAATCCAGCAAGGCTCTCAAGGTCAAGATCAACAAGGAAAGACTGAGAAATTGTTGCAGAGCAGGGACGTGACAACTAAATATAATGTGGAAACCTGGGTTGGACCCTGGCACAGGAAGAGGTATTAAGGGAGAAACTGGTGAAGTCCAAAGAGAGGCCTGGCGTTCAGTTCACGGTGATGTGCCAAGGTCAGCTTCTTAGTCTGGACAAGAGCAGGCTCATGATGTAAGATGTTGACAGTGGGGGGCACTGGGTGGATGAGGGGCACAGGGGATCTCTCTGGAATATCTTTGCAGTTTCTCTGTACATCTACAATCACCCCAAAGTAACACATTGATTTTAAAATAAAAGCCTGTTAATACTGCAGGGAGAGAAGTGAACATTCCTGCTTTTTATCCTCCCCAGGGCACGAATACTAGCATTCAACATGCAAACCATGGACACGGCCAGCAATTTGTCTTCAGAAGGCAGATGGGACTGACAACAACAAGGGCACACTTGGATGACGAGAACGGGGCTCTGGGAGAACTGGAGGGCAGACTGGAAACACAGGGTGTCCAAAGGGAAGCTACTGCTAGCCTCTCCCTCGCTCAGAGCTTCCTGGAGGCACCCACAGGAGGGAGAACTCAGCGTTTGGAGACAGACTCGCTTGCATTTGTGTGGCTGTGTGACCTTGGGCAAATGACTTCGCTTCTCTGAGCCTCAGCTGTCTCACCTGTAAAACGGCTCACTCCTGCCTTCCTTGTGGGAAGGAGGTCTCATGCAGGGTGCTCACTGATGAAGCTCACCTAGGCGAGGGAGAGGGCTGGATGGGGGGGGGGTGCATTCCTGGGAGGCCACCTCCTGTCCAGTGCCCTTGAAGCACTGTGGGGGCCTTTATGTCAATTACAAGGACTTTTGTTGCTTTGTTTATTGGCAGCAGCTCAAGCTATGTGTTTTGCCCAGCGGTCCCTATGGGGATAGCCTGGGCCCTTCTAGCTGCTAGGACCACCATCTCCGTGCAAACAGTGTGGTTCCAGGATAGATCAGCTCCCTGCTCACTGCAGAGCTGTCTGCCTGGGCACAGGGGCATGTGGCAGAGATGGGGGAAGGCGAGGAGGTAGTGATGGAGGCTGTTTTATGGAGAATGGTGGGACAGCCCCTGAAGCACTGACTGGCCAGTCCCTGTATCTCCAAGGACTCTTCCAGTCTGGAATCCTTAGTCTGGATGGTGGCTTCCGCTAGGACCAGTTCTTGCCAAGATCCCCAGGGCTTACCCGGCACAATCAGGCGGTAGTTGTGCTGGAAGCTGCAGATGAGCCTCTGGGTGAGCAACATGGAAGCCATGGTCCCTCCTTCAGGAACAAGGGTCCCCTTCACACACTTTTACCCTGAAAGAACCAGAAACGCAGAGTTAACCCAGGGAAGACCACTCCCCCTTGGGCCCAGTATCCCACCCCCCACATAGTGAAGAAGGTTCTTCTGACCTCAAATCCTTTGCTTCCCACTGAATATACACAAAATCAAAGCCCATTCATGTGCATTTTTCATTTGACCTTGACCATATCCCAGGATCAAAAAACAAAACAAAAAAATGGAGCCACTTTAAAATGGAGTCAAAGCTGCATGAGTGCCTTGCATGTCTTATGCCGCAAACCTTGGAATGTTAAAATAGGACAAAATAAACTTTGGACCGGGACTAAAGCAAACTTGTTTCCCAAACACTTGCTTGCAAAGATAACAAGAAAGCAGATACGACTACCGGACTGAAAATTGAAGACGTTGTTTAGAATTAGCGTTACTATGTTAGCTTATCTGCACCAATAGAAATGCCTTCCTTCTATTGATGCAATTGTTCCCTTTCCCCTTCTCATAAATACCCGTCGTCTTTGTTTCCTAATTGGAACAGTATTTGGGCTTCTGTCTGAATCAGTGTGTCCCAAATAGCTGTTCTTATTGATCTCAAATAAATGCTGTTTGCCTCTCACTTTGAAAGCCTTTTCATTTTTTTTATTTATTTTTTATTATTTTTTTTTTTTAGCTGAGCCATCCCGCCACCTGTTGGCAGCTCATGGCTGCTCAGCTCGGGCTGACTCGAACTGCTGTTGCTCAGAGCTCAAACTCTTGAGCGAGCTCTTAACCAACTGAGCCACTCAGCCGGCCCAAAAGCCTTTTCATTTTTAACACCAGGTAGGATGATTATGCTCATTTTCTAGATGGGAAAAACAGAGAGAGGGGATGGACTTGGCTTGAGATCCCTCTGTAGGCGAGCCCAGCGCGCCATCCACCTGGGACAAGCCAAGCAAGTCTGTGTTCTGCACAATGGAAGGACCAAGACAGAAAACTCCAGAGCAGACAGCAACGTGGGAAGCTGGAAGCTCCCTCTGCCCTGTTGCTACACAGAATATTGTTTGTCAGGCTGTCTGGGCATGCTGTGGACCCAGGGGGAGTATCTGGTGGCTCATTTTTTTTGGGGGGGGTGTCATCATCTCCAGCACCACCAACCATCCCGAGACAAAGGGTTGCCAGAAAGTGGGACTTGCTGTTTTGAAGCTGGAACAGCCCAGGCAAACTGGATAGTTACCCTACACAGCAACAGGGAGTCAGGGTTCTCAGCTTGCATTTCACAGGAGTGCTGTTGACTCGCGACTGCTCCTGAGTCCTGCCCCCAAATCCCTCGACCTAGCCTAGCTAGTTGCCTTTTGCATCATCAGTGGGCAATACCTTCCCCCGCACCCTCCCCATTGTTTTCTTCCTTTTATCTCCTCTTCCCACTCTCCTCCCCCTCGCCCCAGGCCACCATTCCAATGTTCTCTGTGTATCTTGTCGTTTGTGGGCCTTCTTGCTAAGCACCTGCTTTGTTATTTGGCACGTGTATTTTCAGTTGTATTGCGCTGCATCTCAGAACCATGATGGAAGCGCTCACTTCTCACTGCTACTTGTGGACCCTGCTGCCCCGAGTCCTTTCTTCTGGTGTCACTCGCTGCGTTAGGCACATGACATACAGGATTTTACTATGTGTGATTATTATTTGCACCCACAACAATGCTGTGTCCCCTTTTTACAGATGAGGAAACTGAGGCACCGAGCAGTTAAGTGATGGATCTGAAAACAACTCAGACCTGTCTGACCCCAGAGTCAGCACACTTCACCGTTACACAATACTGAGTCCAAACACTCCACAGATGTCCATCCTTTCATTCACTCTGCAACAAAGCATTCCACTGAGCACCAGCTTGATGACAGCATGGAGGACGTGCCAACTGGAGGCAGTAGACACAGATCCCGAGGGATTCTGTAGCACAGAATGCAACAAGCGGGATGACGGGTTGGTTTCAGAAAGCCAAGTGCATGTGGGCTTAATAGTACGGGTGAGAAAATGTGTGGGTGTCCTGGCACTGAGCTCTGATGATGGGTTGGCAGTACCCCCCAACCCAGTGCCCCCACAGCTAGTGGGACGTCAGGCTGATTTATTAGAAGCGAAGAACGAATGAAGGAGGGAGGTTGTTGGCATTGACTTGAGGATTCTGTGAATATTCATGGTGCACCTACTGTGTGCAGGCCTTCCACTGGGCACTGGGGTACAGAGACCGAAGAGATGCAGTCCTCGTCTTCTAACCATTATGTAAGAGATGCAGTCCTCGTCTTCTAACCATTATGTATTCAGCACTTATTACGTTCAAGCCGTTGCGGCAGACACTACCCCCACTTCATCCTCAGAGGCCCTAGGAGGTGGCGACGTCATTAACCTGTCTTCACAGATGAGGAAACTGAGGCTCCCCCGGGCGTGGGTGCAGGAGGCACCTTTTGGGGTGTCACCACGCTTCCCTGCTCTCACAAACTTCCCCCTCCATCTCCATTCAGGGGAGCAGACCTGGCAGCCATGTCTGTTCTGTGTGACCCACTGGCCCAGGCTGATGGACCGGGCTGGGCCAGAGTCCTCCGAGCTGCGTGGTGAGCCACCCACTACCCTGTGAGAGGGGCCAGCCTTGAAACAGGGTCTTTGGACGGAGAAGAATGTGACCTATGTAGAGAGAAGCAGCCGCAAAAGAAAGTGGGTCCTAGCTGTGGGGGACTGTCTGGTTCCATTTCAAGCCCGCAGCCCAGCTTGGCATTGGGTGCAATACTCACTGCTGAACCCAGTGAGGGGAACCCGAGTCCCCCATGCCCTGGGGGTGAGCAGCTGGGGGCAGGGGAGAGCCAGGAGTGTTACGCTTATAGATGTCCTCCACATGGAACGAAACACCAGGAGCCAGGGATATGTGTTTCCATCCTAACAGTTCCTCAGTAAGAAAGCTCAGAAAGCCCCTCCATCCCACACACGTTTTTGGTTTTTGGCTTGCTTGCATTACATTGAGTGGATTTCTGTTGCTTGCAGAGTTCCAGCTAACAGCATCTGGTTCAAGTCTCTGACTGAGGAGCGCCAAATCTGGGGAGCAATGATGCCTCTGCCTTCAGCTTTGCAGGTGAAGTAAGGCCCCCCGCAGGGTCTCTAAGGAAAAAGACTTCCGGGCACTTAAACCTTCTTCTCTCCTGGTGAGAGATCAGGGATTTCCTCCTGGGTGGAAGTGATTGTGCTATGAGGTTGCTGGGTGAGATTCGGAAGGGTTCAATGGGCCCAACCATCCAGCAAGTAGGGTATCTCCCTATTTTAGAGACGAGCATGTGGACGCTCAGAGGGGTTAGGGTATTTGTCCTTGGTCACAGGATTAGTTGGGCTCGTGTGACACCCTCCCCCCCCAAGCCCTTGCTTTTACTCATTACAACATATTGATTAATTCAGCGAATAACAAAACCCCTAACTGTAGTAGATATGGGGTTTAATGAATGCAAATGATCTATTTCAGAGAGGAAATTTTATTGCTCTTCACTAGAGGATATACCGTTGAGAAAATCATGGGCTTGGAAAGTGTGACCACAGATTAACCGAGAAACCATACTCTTTCCTTGATTTCTTATTTTATCTATTCCAGATTATCCAACTCAATGCAAGACTGTTAATTTAGCAGCATGGTAACTATATAGAAAGAGCAGTTGCTGTCTCTTACTTAAAACCATTTGTCTCGAATGGGAGCATTTAAGAAGCCACACAATTCAATTTCCATTAAACGTGTTTTTTTTAAAATGGGAGACTCTTGGAGAACTCACATATTAACATCTGAATGCTCTGCAAAGGGGAGAGTCACACCCGCACACTTTCAATTACAAGATGTCACATTGTGAAATACGTAGCAGTGACATTTTAATGGCCCGCAGTTGAAATCGACCTTATAACAAAACTTGATCTCTATCAGACATGAATTCTCAGCATAATATATTTCCAACCCCAGCAGAGTGAACGTCTTTTGTTCATTTTCTGTAGCCCATTAATTCAATCAACAAAAATTAATTAGGCTTCTGTTACAGGCCGGGCACTGCATTCTTTAGGTACAGGAGAAACTAAGATGAATAAAACGCTTCTCCTTTTCCAAAGCTCCTAATTTAGTGGTGGAGCAATGAACGGGGAAAAACTAGGCTGCTCCATCCGTCGTGTCAATACATTCTTAAAATAACCTGGCAAGATATGTACGGTATATAGAAATTTCCCAGTTCGCCGTCAACAACTAATTCTGTATAAGACAAAATGTAATAACAGAATCATGATTATCTGCTAGTATGAGCCAGGGGCCACGGGAACAGAGAGAGATGAACTCTGGTGGGAGTTATGATTCCAGTAATGTGTCACCTGAGCTGCATCTTGGAAGCCTGGGAGATTTCAGAAGCCACAGAAGAAAGGGGAGGTAAGGCCTGAGCAAATGCTCGGAGGCCTGAGAGTATCTGGAATACTCAAGGATTCGGGCATGACATCTTAGAGCACTGGAAGAGGAAGTTAAGGAAGGGGTAGCTTCTGGGGTGATGGAGGAAAGGGCCCCAGGCAGAGTCTCCCTGCAGACTTACCCTGCAGCCCCTCAGATGCAAGCCAGTCACAAGGAAAGGCTCCCTTTCCTGGGCAGAGATGCCTGGAACATGAGAGGTGGGTGGGCAGGGGTCCTGTGCTCAGGAATAAGTCCCTAAAACACGCCGCGGTCTCTGGCCTGGATGAGGGTAATGATAGCCGGAGCGCTTCAGTGGCCTCTTGGCTTCTCTTACTCTCCTTCCATCCGTTTTCTACTTGATCCCTGAGCTTTATCATTTTTAAAAGATTTTTTTTACTGGGGAATTGGGGAGGGGGAACAGTGTTGGGAAACTGAGGAAAGGGAACAGCCAAGTTGGTGTCCTTCAATCTTAAGTGTGGAGGGCTCAGCTAACTCAGCTCCAAGTCCAGTCGCCATCCGGCTGCCCGTCGCTGCTTGCAGCCGCTCAGCTCAAGGTGCCGTGTTCAATCTTAGTTACAGGCGGGCATAGTCCATCA